TTATCTTTGAAAAAGTAAATTTTGCTATTATAGGCCGGTGTTTGCCAACAGCAAAGCGACCAAGTCTGTGAACTCGTTCAAATTGCGCGGCACTTGTATTCTTCTGTAGTTTCTCTGAGCAAAATTTAATCACCTTCTGCTCAGATGCATTCCAGTCCTCGTTTACATCATCTTCTATTCCAAAAAATAACAAGTTACAGCGCCTGAGTCTGTTTTCCGTGTCATCACATCTGGATGTGATTTCCACGAGTTTCTTAGAGATGGAGGACATAGCGGAACTCGAAGTGGCATCTGTGGTATATGAGGAGCGTAGACTACCTTCCATCTTCGACACCCTCTCTGAAAGAAGCTTTACCTCAGCGTTCGTGTTTATATGGCTTTGTATATATGGCCTTGTGTATATGGCCCCTGACCTCCTCAAGTAAGGCAGTTTGAGTAGCTTCGATTCCTCGCACTGTTTCGAGTACCGTACTATCTGATTTGGGCTCAAATGTAGGAGAACCGGTATTACCTTCGAGTGCTGACACTCTCTCCGATATGCTTCTCAAATCAGCTTCTATGCGCTGCACAGTCGACAAAACACTACTCAACATATTTTCGATTTTGGCTCCAGGCCCGGGATTTAACTCGACATCACCCGACAACACAAGCAACACTGAGTGAACTGAAGGACCGTAACACTGGCCGTAACACTGAATGAACTGAAGGAACCCAAGTGTATTTACGGGAACTAGCTAATTTATAATAACCCATCTGTTAAAAAAACTGCCAGAATTACCATTTTAGACAACCATAAAAGGAATGTATTGCCACTGTGGTAATTCATGAACGAATAGAACAACATAATCTATAGACATCCACAAAAGGTCAATTTATGCTTTAATTAAGCTTTATGAAATCAGAAGAAATATTTCGTACATGGTGAAGTCTACAACGAATCTGCACCACTGAAAACATTGCGAAACTGGGCATTTCATTGAAGCAATATTTCAACATTCTAACTAGTATTCCAAACGAAATTTCTGGACAAAGCAGCCGATTTAGAACAAGATCTTATCTACTACAGTCAAATACAGTAAACTCTCAGTAAACAGAATCTGAAGGGACTAGAAAAAATGTTGTTATGAGGGGAATGACAGAAAACGGGTGTATCATTTACTATATTGTAATGCAATGGTGAAGGCAACCTTATTAGGCCCAGAAGACACGATGAAGAGACCACACCCGAGGCACAGAACCCAGGCAAGCAAGTTCCCACAGCAGATGAAGATGACGACGACTCATGATGAAGAACATGTGTGAAGAAAGTAGATGTGCTTAATGGATGCCCACTGTACCCCACCCCCCACGTGAAAGCGGTCATCTTGACCGCAGTTCTTGGCCGCAGTTTAAAGCGAAGAGGAACACCGTGTGAAAGGCTTCATTCATGCGGGATACATGGACTATTTCTGCTGCCCTGCAGTGGCAGTCCGTTGAAAGAAGAACGGGTGCTACGCGATATCTGACAAGAGACCTTTGCTCCAAGACGGTGTAGGGGCCAATGAAGCGTAATTGAAACTTCTCGCACAGGCCAGACAGGCCAGCAGTGCGAAAGGGTGTAAGAAGGAGGACTTTGTCGCCAGGGCTGAAGGAAACAACACGATGAGAGGCAACATACTCAAGCTTGCCATCCTGTTGCTTGGCTTCAGTGTTGACACTGGCCAGGTGGTGGCAATGAAGTAGACGAGACACATATTCTTCACTTGAGGACAGACATGATTTAACAGGCGCAGAGAACGAAACATCGAGGAAAGAAGAGGGGAAGTGACCGTGGACGAGGTAGAACGGCGAGTAACTGGTTGTGCGCTGTACAAAGGTATTATAGGCAAAAGTGACAAATGACAGAATGGTGTCCCAGTTTCTGTGGTCCGGTTCGATATACATGGCTATTATATCTAACAGTGTGCGATAAAAGCGCTCAGTCAGCTTGTTCGTGTGAGGATGGTAAGTGGAGGTTGTTTTGTGTGTAGTGCCAGATGCCTTGAGCACTTCTTCAACGAGTTCTGAAAGAAATACTCTTCCACAGTCACTCAAGATTACACGAGGAGCTCTGTGACGAAGAATTATTGCTCGAAGGATGAAGTCAGCCACTTCCGAAGCGTATGCAGAAGGCGCGGGAGCCATTTCGGCATAGCGGGTCAGGTGGTAGACAGCTGTAACTATCCATCCATTGCCCGTGACAGTCATAGGAAGCGGACCATACAGGTCAATGCCAAATACCTCAAATGGTTGCAGAGGACATGGGAGCGTTTGTAATTGTCCGCTTCGAATTGAGCTTGCAACGCTGACAGAGGGCGCATGAGGCAACGTGCTTCGCGACACTGTTGGACAAGCCTGGCCAGTAGTAGTGACATCTTATGCGATCGTATTGTAGACTGGTAGACGTTGAAAGGGGCC